GCATCGGCCAAGTCAAAATTCAGACTTTAATTAAAACATTTCTAAGGACCTCTATTTCTTAGGTTAGGGTCACATTGAAGTATTTCTAGCAATTTATTTACCTTCTATATATAGGGTAAGGTTGGTTTAAATAGAATCTCCTTTCATAAATAAATTATTTTCAAAATAGCTCTTTATTCAGGTTATCTATTTTCTATCAAATGTATTGATTTAGATTGTATAATAATGAGAGAAAGGCAAAATCGGAAGAAATTTGGAATATTTTAGAGGCTCAGTCAGCAAGTCTCTTTCTTTGTCTTTGATTTCTGTTTTTTTTTTCTCCCAAAAGGTGTATTAGGGAACTCTGACAAAATGTGAAATAAAAACTGGTGGACGGCGGCGATGATTCCAGTATTTAGGAAAGCAGACCAAAGAAATCTGGCTTTGGGTTATTAGGAACATCTCACCTCTTAATCTGTTGCTTCTGTCTCCACTAAGAAATGCTCACTAAAAATGTATCCTCTTTTCTAGAGCAGGTATGACTTCTGCATGATTGTTCCTTTTCTCAGATCCTGGTGTTTTTTTTGACAGGATCTTAGAAAAAATTGTGTTTGATTTGGGAATCTGATGGAAACTATAAGTTTTTGTAGATGATGCAAATGGTGCCTTAAAGCTATGGCAGGTGCTGATTTTGAAGAACCCAAGAAGAGATTAAGCTGTTTAAATCTGAGGCCATTGTTCTCATCGGTCTGTCCTCCTTATTAGGGGAATCCAAGAATCTTGGAGTTTGTTCCCAACTGATGAAAGGATAGAGAAGGAAATAAATAAAGGACTGGGACACAGCTGCAGTGATGGAGGCACTTTTCAAACCCAAGCTTAACAAGAATTGAAAATTCTGTTTACTTCTCTGTTTGTGGAACATGCTAGAAATAAAAAAAAAAGATCTTGCACACAAAAAGTAGAAACTAGCTTCTTCTTTAAAGAAACTGGGCTCTTTAATTCAGATTCAGTTTGGAGAAGAGCCTCTGCTCTGTAGCATGATGCCTGTGAAAGCCTCACTTAAAAAACAGTTCACTCCAATAGAAGGAGACTGGCCTGGTAATGCCTTAGGATCCAGATATAAGATGGATGCTGTCGATTTGAAAGAGTGATAACCTGGTTTTCATCTTGATCATGTAAAATCCGCACCCTGGGGTTTTTAAAAAAAAAAAAAATCTAATCTACTGTAATAATCTTTGTCTCGCTTTGAAGATTTATATTTTTTGTGAGCTTTCTTTTTTATTCTAAGTACCTTTGAGAAGGCAGGAAGGAAAAGGAAGCAAATCACACTTGAACTAATTGATCCACAATCTAAGTTTGGAATTCTAACTAAATGCAAACATTCCTAAAAAATGCTTTTCTTAATTCATTAACATTCCTCTCTAACCCAGCTGAAGGTCACAATATGTCCCAGAAAGGTCACTACCAGGTCTCGATACTTCACGCTACCTGTATAAACATTGCACAGCAGTTCAAAAAATCCCAAACGGTGAGTCTGCATGAGTTTAAATAGATGTTCAGGAGTTCTTGTTGTGTAAGATCTCTGCAATTCCAAACTACATGAAAGCATTTAGTAAAAGAGATAAAATATTGATGTGTGGTTTTGTTTCCTTATTTGTGTTTGAGTTTAGGAACCATCTGGAAAGTTCAACCTTTCCCACGTTAAATATTAATTCTATAGTTGAAAATAACCCGAGGAGCGCAAAAGAGGGTCATTTTGTAATGTGAGAAAATGAGAGGGGTGAGCTGGTGGTAGAAGAGTTCGACAAAAGGTTTTTATGGGCAGATGGAGGACCTAGTCCACCGATACAGCTCAGCGGCTCGAAACCTGATCTATGATTATATTCCTTCATTCTTAGGAGCACAAAAGAAAAACGTGGTTTCTATTAATAATGAAAGCAATGTTATTTTGTCAACATTAATGTAACTTGTTGTTGGAGAGAAAGAACTGCTGAATATGAGCTAAGTTATTGTTCCCTGAGGAAACTCCTAGAAAATGTTTATAAAGCAGAATCAGTGATTGGGATAAATTAGAAAAGTACACAAACAACACGACTACAGACGAGCCAGCAGTCCGAACACTACGTTTCCATGTCTTCAGCAGTACTGAAGAAATGCACCGTGATCTGATGCACACTTAGTCAGCACGACTCAACAGTAAATTTTAATGACGTGCTTAGAAGTGCAAAACAGCTAACAACATGTTTGTTTAACAAGGGAGTGGTTTTCAGTAAGTTATCCCTGTCTTTAATAATTGATGAAAGCCTATTAATTATGGAGGAATCTGAGGCCTAACCCCAATGGAGCGCTGGCAGAGCTACTCCGGACTATCAGCTTGTTGTTTTCCTCTGTAGTTATGTAAGGCAGCATGGAGGGGAGTCAACACCTTTGAGTGCTGTGTGAAATTCAGGAGATCTGAAATACTGTCTGACATTTTGTCAGATGATGCAGTGAATTCAGAAGTGGTTTAAAAGCATATTTTGAATTTGATGTATAACTGATCCACAGTCCCAAATTCAATATCCCTAACCTTCCAATTATTTTTTAATCTATTGTCATTTTGAAATCAGACTTAGTATTTTCTGGAGGATATGTCTTAAATGTGCAAAACATGGCGCATAATTGTAAAGTTTAAGAACGAAGAAACATGGGTGAGGAACACATTTGTACCACCCCTTTACCATGATACCATGGAATATATATTTATATACACAGTGGACAGTACAGAAATAAAATTAAGATTTTTAACGGCAGGTTTTGAAAAGTTTTCCTAAATTGAAAGCTATTCAATTTACTTTTTACAATCATAATTAGCTGAGTTTGTCCAAGAAAGAGCACCTTTCATAAAACTAGGAAAGAGGCCGGTTGTAGCTATGGAGAAGCTGCAGAGATCCTCAGCTCAGGCAGTAGAATCAGCATTCACTCTACTGTATAGCAGCCTTTATTTCAGTGGCAAGAAGACCATAGTAGAATTTCCCTGCAAGCTAGAGAGTAACCTAACGACGACACATGTGGAAGAAGGGGATCCAGGTAGGTGAGACCAAAATTGGACAATTTGGGCTTACATGGCATGAGAAGAATATATGCTGTACATCCCCCCTAAACAGGCCCTGAAAGGTGGTAAAGACGGGATTGTGTCGATATGGTTACTTTAGTAAGGAAATGGAGACTGTAATAAACAGTAAGCAAAAGTTCTGATAGACCCTAAGAGACGGGGGCAGAGGTTCACCCCCCTGAAGGACAAAACCCCCTAAAGATACAGCGACAGCTACAATGGAAAAGTTTGGATTAAAGCACCTTTCTGTAGCAGATGGCCCAGTTAAACAGAAAGTCTTAATTTAATCCCAACTGGCACAAAATTTGGATTCAACAACCCCAAAAACCTCCAAAACTAAAAAATGATTCTTTGAAGTATCCGTTCAGAAGGCCTGGATAAAACTGCATCCTGTTATAATTCATTTGAATACAGCAAAGTTTCTTGTAATTTGACAAAATCTGCAAAAGGATAAATATTTTACTAAGTTTTTTTTTTTTTTTTAAGAGACATATCCTAAAGATGCAGCTTAGTCAAAACAGCAACTGGTTGCACACAGTGGTGCCTTTATATTGAAATAGTGAATCAACACAGCTGGCCATCCTCAAGTTTGTGTTTATGTCTGTGCGCTACCTTTCCGAGTTAAACTTAAAAATAGCTCAGACACATCCTGCTATGATGCTGAAGGTGCAGACATCTTTCCCCTCTGAAGGACATAACACTGTCTGAAGTTTGGGGGTAGGGAGTGCAGAGGTAGGGGGAGGGAGGCAAGGGGGGTTGAGGAAACGGTGACTACCGTGTGACAAGCTTGCAGTTCCTTCCTCCAGGCCTGAGAAACAGGAAGTGGAACACATAAGGCATTATTGTGACGGAGAGGAAATGCAAGGTCCTCTAAAATAAGAGCTGCAATCTGGTGGTCAATGACAGCAGCTTGTCCTCCACAGTTCCACGGAGACCTGTAACCCCCACCAACCCCTAATGTGCACACGAACGCGCACACACACCTCCAAAACAACTTTACTGTTGACTGACACAGATAAATCTCCCCTTCTGCTGTTGTAAAGGAAAGTTACCATTAATATGTTCACGTTTCGCTGCGTCTGAACATTCTGCAACTAAAGATAACATTAACTGAATCAGCATTTGATAGTGTTAAACTTCCAGTCCTGTGCTGGACTTACAGTGAGGAATACCGCCATTTAAGACATGTAAAGGGAGCATATGGACGGGCTCCACCCTGCAGGAGTTTAACAGAAGCTGAGGGAGGAGCTGGTTGCTAAGAGGGGGAAACAGGGCTTTAAGATTGGCTGCCTCCCAGTTAATTAAAATCCTACATTATCTGTTTCATGCTTTCAATTTGAAAGCCCTGGAAAGGGCCCAAGCCTCTGCACACAGCAAGATGTGATTATACAACAGAGCGCCATTCACACTGCACGACGCAGCAATGCCCTCCTGTCGTGATCATGCCTTGATCTGCAGCAATATCTCTGATGACCCGGGAAAATTGGCTATGTAATGCCTCTGTGAAATCTGCATGGTATCTGAAAGCATCAAATTAATTGGATACGATCAGCTTTTGTACAACGCAGCAGGTGCTTGCCACCTGTGATTAATGACGCAAGTATCTACAAAGAGTGAGGCTGTTGAGAGTCACTGGGTCAGTTTATTTATATTAAAAGTAAAAACAATTGTTTAGCTTAGTTAACACATGCATCAATGCACATTATTACCTCTAACAATCAACAGAAGCAGGCAGGCGGTAACATACTGTACACATATGGCCCCTTAATAACCATCGCTGGTGGTTTCACTTTATATCAACAGTCATAACTTTTTTTTTTTTTTTTGCCACTTTAAAAAAAATAAATCAGAAGAAAATCTATAAAACAAGAAACTGTTGCAAGCTAATACTTTCTGGTATCGCTTTTAGACATTTCCAGAACCCCAATTAAGATGGAAAGAAATTAGAAAACAAAATTAAAGAGAACAGGAAGGAACAGTTTGTCTTTCCAGCAGCCATAAAGCTCATATGATATTTATTAAAATGATCTTTTACAAAAACTGAGGAGAATTTTATAAAAGGACTTTTACTGCCATCTACTGGTCAGAACAGTTATAGACAAGGAAACAACCAATATATCCATCTCTGGTCTTAAAGGCTGGCACTTTAAGACCAGAGATGGATATATTGGATATGGATATATATTTAAATTTGTGAATGGTTGAATTAGTGAGTAGGAGGTTCTCCTACACCACTAGAATTTCTGGGTAGTTCTCCATCTCCACAGCCAGGCTGGAGCTTTACTTTGTTGGTGACTGCAGAGCCATCATGCAGAGATTCTTCTCCTGCCAGATTGGAGCTTTTATGCCTCCAGCGCCCTCTCCAGGAATCTGAGGGTGTGACTTCTGTAGGGGAAAACCTCTCCCAAAGGATGGGAGGAATGGGGTAGATGACTGCTCTTTCACAATCTGCCATCCTCTCCCCATCATACACTTTACTTCTTCGTTTAAAGTTGCAGGAAGATGAGTATTTGTAGTTATTTCTTTCTGAGGCTCAGAGGAGGCATCTGGAGAATGGTCTCTGGAGACACTTGGATCCTGCAGGGGATCAGGAGGAACCATTTTTGATGACAGACATGGTGTAGCGTCAACCTCCAGGGAGTGAGACTGAGTGTTGCTGTGCCCATCTGCTGCTGGTGTGGTTTCCGAATCGGGATACGGGTTGAAGCGATCCAGCAGACCTTGCTCTGTGACAGGGTAGCGTTTCCGAGCCCGCTCCTGCCGCTCACTGCGCATTTCATCCAGCTGCCTGAGCTCCTTAGGCAACTCCAACACATTATTCTACAAAACAAAACAGGAAAAATAAGCATATCACCATCTCAATGGATTTAAAAAAGGAAAAAAAAATCTACTACAAAAATATATACAGATTAGTGAAGCTATCACGATGTTTTTATAACATTTTTGTCATATTAAGTTTTGAATATATTTTGAAAATATTTTTATGTAACAAGATTTGTAATCCGTCTTCAGGTTTCTTTGATGTTGCATCGATTATCTGCAATTTTTTTTAATCATCGTTTCTACAAGAAAACTTTTTTTAAATAAAGCCAAATTTATCAATATAGGCTTCTGATAATGTTTAACTAATAGCTTTATTAACTGAAATGAACTGCATTAAAATTTTTTAGTATCAAATTAAAATATATCAAATTGGAATTTTATCTACATATGCCAATGTATTGCATTAATTAATATGATAAAGGCCTTTATTATTAAAGATATACTGAACTGAAACAAGCCTAAAATGAACTATAGGCTTCACCAGATTGAGGCTAAGCAAAATATGAGCAAAGATTGTTTTTTTTGTACAAGCAGATAAAGCCCGTCTGTGTCTCAGTTCCACACTCTACCTTAAGCCGGGAACACTGTGCGATTTTCGGGGCGATTTTCCACTCGTGCGAGAATCTTTCAATCGGGCCAACTTTCAGCTTGACCTTGCGTCGTAAGTCGTGTAGTGTACTGGGGGTTACGAGGGGCGATCAGCCTCTCACGAACACCTCCCAATCAGGAATCGTGAGGTCGGGAGAAAATCGAACATGTTTGATTTTCTCCAGACCGTCGTGGGCAAATCGCTCAGTGAGCATACGCAAACAAGGATTCTTCTGTAAACACAGCAGCGTGGCAGGGATGCAATGAGTGAACTGCAGTTCCGTCTGTAAAATTGACAGACCGTAGTAGCCATGTTTGCTCAGCCATGTCTTTTTTCCAAATATGTCGACGCACAAGGCGCTGCAAAGGCAGCACATTTCACTTTAGTAAGCTTCATATATTTTTTAGCTTCTTTTTAGCCGTACAGTGTGAGCAGGTAGATCGCATGAAAGCGTCGGGCCCAACATAAATCGTGAGCTGTGAATTCCAACTGTGTGACTAAACCCTGCGTTTAGTCGTACAGTGTGAGCAGTAGCTGCGTGCAATGACCATATTTTGGACCTACTGGAGAAAGACCATTGTTTAATTTTTTACCAATAATTTTGGTTTACTAATTGAAGAACCTGTTCGGATGCAGATACAATCAGACAGATGTTTCTAGACACTCATCTGCATGGCATCACAACACTCTAGCATTCTGAGATCATCTTGAATCCTCTAAAAAAACCTCACTGCTGCAAAATGATTCAATTTGTTTCATTTGGCTTATTTCCGTTTCCCCCAAAGGCAACTAGAAGCTATATTTAACTAATTTAAGTTAGCTGTGAATTCAAACTTTGTGTTTCGAAAGGTTAAAGGTATAGTGGAGGATTTCCCCAAATTTTTGTAAAGGCCCGCCCACAATCCTGTGCCCGCTCCCAAGAGGAAATGTCTGTTAAACGTTTACAAAAGAGAGAATGAGCCCATTTCTCCTCGCACCGTTTGCTATCGCTGTTTGCGTCGCTCATACAAGCTTACTTTTCAAAAGAATTTGCATTTTTTCCACTATGTCAAACTCACCACCCGTAAGTGAAAATGGGAAAGAGCACGTAGAGCGGTCTTACATAAACATATCACCAGAAGGATTGATAATTAGGAGGAGCACTTATTTTGACGATCCTACCGGAAAAAGAACATCCTCCACTATACCTTTAAGTTTCAACAAGTCATAAAAAGAAAACTGTCTTTCCACAATGCACACATTTCAGAGATCATTCCTGAATGACTAACCATAATGACATATTCCAGTCCATCGGGTTCACCGAGGCTACTGCTGAGATAGGAGTCCACCAGGACCATGTAGTCGGTCATCAGCCTGTCTAGCAGCACCAGTCTGAGCCGCTTCAGATGGATCACAGATAACGCCATCACCTTCAGCAGGGGCAGGGGGCAAGGCCGCTTGTACCACATCTCAGTTTCTTCCTAGAAAATTACATTAAGCAAACAAAGCATTAGGCTACATTCACACTGGAGGCCTTAATGCTCAATTCAGATTTTTTTTGTGAAATCCCAATTTTTTGCGTCGCCGTTCACATTTCCAAATATCTGCGACTTGTATGTGATCTCATTTGTGAAATGCATTCATACAACACAAGTGTCCCGCATGCGCAGTAGAGGATGTAGTGACGTCAGCATGCTCTGTGTTTATGGAAGTAAACATGGATGGTAGTGCTGGAGCGGATCTTTTTGATATGGTTAAACATAAATACTAATCTCTAAGACCAGATTTGTATCAGGGCCACATAGCCAAGCGGCCTGGGTCACATTGAAAAAAATCAGATCCGAGTTGTTCAGACTGCCATGAAAAGATCAGATACATATGGGCAGAAAAAATAAAAATTTAAATCTGATTTGGGTCACTTAAAGCTGCTGTGTGAACGTAGCCTTGGAGCTTCTTGGAAGATGTTTCTAGAACTCTTCTGTTGGATCACAACCAATTAAATAAATAAAACACCCTAACATCTCAATTTGGTATCAACTTTGAATTGGTAGATGAAACCGTAATTTCTAAAGTCTTAGGCTTATTTTTGGAAGCAAAATCTGGGTCCAACAGATAATAGGGATAGCCTTCCAAAAGACTTAGCCCTGTACTATGACTATAAACAAAACAAAACAAAAAAACAGGTTAAGCATTTATTCATTTTCAAACAAAACAG